GTAGGTTTTTTTTACACGGTTTTTTTTTTACACGGACCGTATCCCCCGTGTAAAAAAGACCTGAGTGTATTTTTCAAAACCAGTTTAAAGCCATACTACAAATCCAAAATCAACGAGTTCTTGATATAAATTCGAGTCAACTATCGATTTATAATTATAAAATTTACACTCTTTACGCTAACCTTAAGATATTAAATTGTATATATTAATTAATTGAATTGTTCATGAGTTGAGGATCCCTTCAAAGGAACTTTGTTCCACTGGGTACATCCTAACTTTGTTAATGATTGTTATTTTGCATCACAAAAATTTAAAATTAGTAATGTTATATTTATATGTCAATATGTTTTCTCTTGTTACGTTAAAAAAAATACTATCGAGGAGTCCACTACCAGGGGGCTCTCAGTGTGAGCTCTTTGGTGTGGGGGTGTGTTGGCAGGCCTATAAAAAAATTTAAAAAAAAACTTGCAAGAAATTAAGATCCAAAGAATATATTTTTTAAGGTAACAAACTCATTTTTGCTCTATATCTGAATTTGCCCCCTGGCTTTGCCTATGTCAGCATAGAGATGGTAAGCACAATAATCTAAATTACTTGCAAGGTCATTGATGAACATGGAATATAACAGTGGACCCAGAACAGATTCTTGTGGGACACCACTTGTTACATTCAAAAGCTCTAATTTTGAATTATTGAATTCCACATATTGCGTAAGTAAGTTCACAGAAGTTGTATCGAGAAAGAATAAACTACTTAGTTTACGACATAACAATTTATGGTTGATATCATCGAAAGCTTTACTAAAATCCAAAAGAACTTAGAAAAGGACAATCGCATTTGGATTATGAGAAGTCAAGTCCAATTTTACGATGAAATGGTCATATTAATAAAATATATATTTTGCAACAAAACTAAAAAAAAAAATACCAAATTCTGAGAACCACTACATCGTTTTGCTATGGAATGGCTGAATAATGGTAAATTTATAGCCTAAGCCATTATGAGATCATGACAAAGTTACGATATCTTACGGTACCGAATAGAGAGTCTTACTGTACTATTGGAACTAAGTATGTTGACTACTTTAATCCCCTTTTCAATCATTTTCAACTGCATTTGTTTCGAGCCGTAACAGTTTTGTATCGTCAATAGTCCGTGTACGCCTTTGTAAACGGCTAAGTATACTTCAAATCACCTTTTTTTCAAAAAAAAACCCAAGATGAAATATTTTAAAACCTTCAGATATTTGATTGTTAGGATGAATATTAACTTCCTGTAACCAAAAAACTGAAGTACATGAATGTTGAAAAAATGTGTGCGTCAGTAGCATTGGTATTCAGTACGGAAAACAAGATCGACAGAAAACAAATCATGGAAAACAGAAATCTTCTAAATTGACCTGAAAAAGAACTGACATCACTGATGAATTCGAAATATAGTGGCTTGCTTAACGCTCCAGTGGCGCCACCATGATAAATGCGAGCACATTCCCAACCAAAACCTGATTTGCGAAGAATGTGATTGTGAGTCCTATGTCTGTTTGTCTGTGGCTTTAACGTTAACACGTTAAACCTACTAACATGTTTACTATCGGTAATGACGCTAACTTTTTGGTTAAGGGTGCCTATCACTAAAGAACATGTCGTTGACGTAGAAAAATTATGCATAAATTACAATCCTTGATCTCAGTGATGGGCTCAAATAAGGAGCACAAGCCAAATTACATCCCGTCACCCTACCTACTGTTCACAGTTCCGGTTCTTACCAGCAGCAGTAATATCAACAATCAATACGAAACTAACGATTTTAAATTGGCTCACTACTTGACTAGCCTATTGGTCCTAAGCAAATCGATTAACGAACCCATTCTAGTTGAAATTCTAGTACTGTTTTGATTCTCTATGAAAATTTGGCAGATAAAATGAGGGGTTCGTGGATTTTCATATGTTTCGAGGGGTGCATCGATTAGCTTGGGACCGAAGATAGTACCAGAGCTGAGCCAAAAAGTTGAGCACGTTTCTTCGAAACCTTTCGGTCTTAGAGTTACCTCTATGGTAACATTCAGCACTTGAACAAGTACGATTTAATTGTTTTCAGACTGGCAGCTTTAATAAGTAGTCGGAAACGTTTTGCGGGAATACACTTGTCGTCGCTGACCGAGTTCGAGAAGACGCAGATGTGCGTGTGAGATGATAGAGAAATTAACTGGAATGAAATATAGAATGTGTCCAATTAGTACAGGAAGTGATAAGAAGCATGCGATGGAAATTTATGTAACATATAAATTCTCGAATCAACTTTGAATGATCGTTTGGGATCAATGCATGGTGAGATTATATTCAATTTAATTTTAGCATTTATGGTCTCATCCACATAACTTGAGGCACAGAACATTGTGTACCAACAATTAACGCAAACACTTACGAAGGAAGAACGTATGTAGTGTAAATGATGGATTTGGTAATACATTATTCTATTATTGTCAGGGGGTGAACAACGCCCTTGAGAGGTAAATATTGGCATGTGGATACATTCTTTTTCAGAGCATCCTATTGGCCAAATTTGAGTGCTCTAGGACTTTGTTTACCCCCCTGACGGTAATAGGTTAAGGTATTGTCGAAGCCATGCTTGGCATGCACAGTTCTACACACCAACTGCTCATTTGTTAATAACTTTTCACTCAGTTGTTGAAATTTGTTTTTCTTTTAAGTAATTGATAGATTAGGATCATAGTTTACTATAGACATGCAAAGAGTAGGTAAATCTTAACATTTGAATCAACACCAATGAATTTTTACACTTAAAGTCCAAGATGTGCAGCGAGCATTTCTCACTTCATTTTTTCAAAGCAAAAAAAAATATAGTTTATTACTAGAATTAAAATTGCCTTTTATGTTGTATCTATAACAAGCTTAAACTCTATTCTATCTACTGCTTCAAAAAGAACTATGTTTCGTCAACTATGTGCAAAGTTATTAGCAAATGACCAGTTCGTGAACAAAACTGTGTATGCCAAGAATGGTCGAAGCCGGCATTTCCCCTATAAAAAAGAGTTCTTGACCTTCGAAGCCTTTAATAAGCCGCCAACATATGTTGCTGATAAAAAAAATATCAGCTTGTTAAATTTACTACCGTGAGACATATAGTAGTATTGCAACATTCATGCATGGAATCTTCAATTTCCGAAGTGTACCTACTTATGATTGTACGCATCAACCTGTATCCACCAGTGTTCGCACATCCAAAACTTGAAGGTAATCAATTGATTAATATTCAATACACGAATTAATTTCGCTTTCAAGCCTACCAATTCCTGATTCACAAATTGACAGTGGGTGAACTTGAGGGATTCGGCGTATTGTAGCTGCGCCTTTACTGACTAGGCTAAGGGAACAATTAGTAATTCAGCACTCGTGCCGCTTATCATTGATGTTTTCATCAGACCGACAGACTTGATCAGTCGTCGGAAATCGCGATTCACGTGAATGCACTTTTCATCCACCAATTGCTCCGTCCAGTGAGAAGACGAAAATGTGCGTGAGATGATAGGGGAGTGATGAGAGTAAGGCCAATTAGTGGCGGAAGCGAAAAGCGCCATGCAATCGGCAACAGCGGTTGATGTGACATACGAATTCTCCGGATTATCTTTGCTGGGTCGTTCTGTGGATCAAGGGATGGTGTGATTGATCCGTATTAGAGCTGACATGTTCGATCCTATTTAAATCAAATTCTCAATTCATTCAATTTCTAGAATGAATTCAGAGCTACGTTACACGATGAATCAAGGCGGACCGCGAATGGAGAGCGTTAGAAGTCTTCGGTGATAAAGTGCTTCGGATAATACTACTACACACTTAGCCAGCTCGGCAACTGTATCAAAACAGAACACTTCGTCAATTCTCAATAGCGTTCTTTGAGTCTAAAACCTGATAAAATTTCAAAGCAGAGTGTGTGTGTGTGTGTGTGTGTGTGTGTGTGTCATCCTCTATCCCTCACACAGCCGGGGGCGTTGGACAAGTAGAACTGCGAATAATTTGATCAAATCTCATGCTCCGTAATGGTGCCCTTTATGTTGTACTTCAAAAAGGGTAACTTTTGAGGCAAGACAGGGTGTCCTCAACAAGTTAAGGGAACAGGATGCACTAGATGTCCACAACAGGTACAGCAAAACATCAAATAGACGCCCTTATTCACACTAACTACTCAGGGGATAGAAGGTCAAGAAGAGCCACCGCCGCCAACTAAAGCTTGAACAAAGCAGAGTACAAATAAAAACAAAAATCCCAGTCTCAAATCACCGCCCAAGATGCCATAACGGATTCCACAATCAGGATAGTAGTTTATGGCAGGGTCCAATCATAAAAATTATATTGTGTCAATTATCCGGTTATCATTCGACAATTGCTTCTTCTGTTTCAGACGGCAACGCTCTGTCTTGGGTATGTACAGCCCATGGTACCTCCGAAACGTTATCAGCTGAGCAGTAATATGACCAGCGTACGTCATAGCAGAATAATGATGGAAAAATTTTCTCCTTAAAATCTTAGCCGCAATGTGTAAATACCTACAACATTGATGAGCTGTTGTGTAACGTTTCTGCAGATATCACACATGAGTTGAAAATCAGCTTTGCATGAGCTCGACCTAGCTCCATTATCGGTCAGAAGTATACCTCGTTGGAGGCACTTCTTCCAATCAGTGCTGTGTAAAAACGGATTTATAAAGATCATAGCGTGAAAAAGTGAGTCTCATTCAACTTCACCCAATCGAGCCACAGTGATAAGCCACTGATAATGTTGTTATTCCGTAATGATGACCACATGTGGTGAATTGTGGCAATCGCCATCGTTCGACCTGTTGTTTTGATTACCATCACTCAAATCGGGCGATGATGCTAAGAACCGGGTTCAAGCGAAACATGACCCATGACGGAACTCTTCTCGTCACTCCAATGACTTAGTTCTGTATTCTAACTTAAGAATTTTCTTTTCTCATTGCAGAGCAAAAATGAAGAAATCAACCCTAGACAACATATCTATTCTGCTGGCGGAGCTTTTGGGAACGGCTCTGCTGGTACTGCTAGGATGCATGGGCTGCGTAGGAGGACTCGGGCACACTCCATCACACTTTGAGCTGTGCATCAACTTCGGTCTGGTGGTCATGATCCTGGTGCAGATCTTCGGATGCGTTTCAGGATGTCACATCAACCCGGCCGTAACGGCCGCGGCCTGGGTCTACGGTATGGTTTCCACCAAGGTAATTATTCACCTTCAAACTTCCAAGCCATCATGATCTATAAGACATTCCTTGATTTCCAGATGGCTATCGGATATTTCATTGCCCAGTGCGTCGGAGGCTTCATGGGTTTCGGAATGCTCAAGATGCTCACCCCGGCGGCTGTGTTCACGGGTGCTCTGGAAAATGGAGCCGGTTTCTGTGTGACCACGCCCAACGATGCAATCACGACGATGCAAGCCGTGGGAATCGAATTCCTGGCCACCGGTGTCCTAGTGCTGATGTGCTGTGGTGTGTGGGATCCTCGCAACTCCAAATTGCACGATTCGGTACCGCTCAAGTTCGGTTTCACCATCGGATGTCTGGCCGTTGCTGCCGTAAGCATTCTTCTATTCAGTAAAGCTGTTCAAAGTATAATTATATGAATATTTTTTTCTAGGGCCCCTACACCGGAGCTAGTATGAACCCGGCCCGATCGCTGGGACCGGTTCTGTGGAACGGCGTCTGGACGGATCACTGGATCTACTGGGTGGGTCCGCTGTCCGCTGCGTTCATTGTCGCTTTCATGTACAAGACCGTCTTCAGGCGCGAAGCTCCTCAGCAGGAACTGATCAGTGAAATGAGGGCACTCAATGCCGAGAAATAGAATGCTCAAACCTCGTCAGTGGAAGGTTATGTTATGGTAACGCTCTTCATCGATAGTGCCACTGAAAAACAAATGCCAAATGAACAGAAGAGAATTTAGAAAGTTTCCGGTTTACTGGAAGTGGATGAATTTGTTGTTAATTTTAAGGACAGGATAATGTAAGCTGTATTTTGCGATGTGTAATGTTTGAGACGATACAGCGGAATAAAGATATTGAAGTTTTAAACAATGCGTCCGTTAAGTCCATCAATAGTGGATAGTAGAGAATCAAATGACAACATAGGGTAAATAGCGTTTAAACATTACTTTTGAAGCCAATCAAAACGGCTCAATACAGTGCTTTCCTGATTTTGTCTACCCCAGATGTTACTTACCTTACCTTACCTTACCAACCAGGCTAAGGCCTTGTTGTCCTCTGCTGTCCGAAGAAGTCGTGCCCAGCCCACCGTAGTCGCCCAATTTTTGCGATGTGGACGATGGATGGTTATCCCAGCAGCTGGTGCAATTCGTGGTTCATTCGCCTCCTCCACGTTCCGTCATCCATCTGCACTTCACCGTAGATGGTACGCAACACCTTCCGTTCGAAAACACCAAGATGTAATCAACGTGTTGTAGACAGTCAACTTCGAGCGGCGGCGAATTTTATACGACCGGAGCGTCCTCCGGATTCCAAAGTAGGCACGATTCCCTGCCATAATGCGTCTTTGAATTTCTCTGCTGGTATCATTTTCGGCGGTAACCAGTGAGTCCAAACACACGAACTCATCGACCACCTCGATTTCGTCCCCGTCAATCTGAACTCGGGGTGGGAGACTAACATTGTCTTCCCTAGAACCTCTTCCTTTCATGTATTTTGTCTTTGATGCGTTGATGGCAGGTCAAACCGCCTAGCTTCAGCCTTAAGTCTGATGTACGTTTCCACCATCGTCTCAAAGTTCCGTGCCATGATGTCGATGTCATCGGTGGAGCCGATAAGCTGGATGGACTTCCTGAAGATCGTGCCACTCGTGTCCATACCTGCTCTTCTGATCACACCTTCTAACGCGATGTTGAACAGCAGACACGAAAGTCCATCACCTTGCCGTAACCCCCTTCGAGATTCAAAGGGACTCGAGAGTGTCCCCGATACTTGAACAACGCACATCACTCGATCCATCGTCGCCTTGACCAATCGCGTCAGTTTTTCCGGAAATCCGTACTCGTGCATAATCTGCCATAGCTGATCTCGATCGATTGTGTCGTATGCGGATTTGAAATCGACAAAAAAAATATGTGTGCGCACATTGTGTTCGCAATAGCGAAACTTCCTAACGTTCACCACCGTCAGCCGTGTCAACGCGCCACTCTCCGGCAAGAAGCGTTTACAACACTCGCGGTCCTTTTGTGTGTGTATGCGTTACGAATCGAGCCGTCGTAGAGAGAGAGAGGGAAAAGTACAGCCGACCGTCGCTGGCTTGGCCGAATCAACAGTGAGCTTCCATCGACCAATCACAGAGCAGAATGTATCATAAATGTAACCTTTTCGTAGTTTTTGTATATTATAAAAGCAATAGCCATTTTCGAACCATAATTCAGTTTTATACCAGAAGCAGAGGAATAAACATTGTTCTTATCAAACCCAAAGTAGCCGTTTTTCCAAGCAAGAAGAAATTCCCCTGCTTGAACTGACCTGACTGGATTCGCCGATTAATTTCAGCGTCGCCTCGAAACAGCTTGAGCCCGACCTTCGGAGATAGCGTGGTTTCCTTTTCACCCGATGCACATAGCTCACTACATCCTACAAAAGAGTTGCGCGTTGAGCTCTTTTCAGAGCTCAGCAAGAATTTTCGGTAGTCGTAGCTTATCGCTGGGTGATTTGGAAGCTATCTTGCTGGATTGCATCGTCGCCATCGTTCTTTAGCGTGCGTGTAGTGGTAGTGGACCATTATCGCCAATTATCTTCATTGATATCCAACGTCGGTAGCAGGCTGATTGCATTGTCGACATTAGCGTGAGTGTGCGTGCGGTGGCAGTGAGTCATCACCATCATCGACATCGGCAGTAAGCCGATAGAATCATTGTGGTTTTCACAGTGTGTGAACACAATCGCCACGACATCGATCAGCAGTGGGCTGATACGTGGATGGCCATCCATATTGTGCAAATTGTGAAAGTAGTGGTTAGCAGTGAGCTAACGTGTTGGTGGCCATCCGTCTCCATCAATGTTGGCAGTGGGCCAACATATTATGGTCCTTCGAACCGGATTGAACCAGTGAGAAAAGACAGTCTAGTGATGAACAAAAGTGATTGATCCAAAAAGACACCAATGAACTAAAAAGTGAAGCCCTGAGAACAACTTGAACTGAAGATTTGAAGTGAAGTGAAGTGAACAAGCAGCTTGGTTATCGCTCTACCAGCAGCGATTTTTCTGATGTCCGTTAAGCGTACTCCAGTAAAAGCCCGGTGTGCAGCCAAACATGGAGGAAGTTAAATCCATCATTCATCAACGAGGACAGGTAAAGGGTAAGGTCACTGCAATCTCCAGCGCTCTGGAGAACGCGGAGCACGACCCTTCTCAGGTGAGTCTCCCATTACTCAAAGTTTATTCTAAAAAGTTGGAAACACATTATGCGGAATATACCGCTTTGCATAAAGAAGTGCTTAATCTTATTGCTCCAGCAAAAATTTTGGAGCAAGACGAAAAATTGAACGAGTTTGACAAGCTTCATACGGAAGCTCTCGTGCGGTTGGAATTTTTAGTGCAATCTTTGCAAATTAAACTTGCTGCATTAAATGTTGCGCCACAACAGTCTGAATCTTCCAGAGTGATAATTCAGCAAGCGCCGCTTAAAGCTCCTATCCCAGTTTTTGATGGGAAATATGAAAATTGGCCTCGATTTAAGGCGTTGTTCGAGGACATCGTCGGTAAGGACTCGGATTCTGATTCTATTAAACTACATCATTTGGAAAAATCATTGATTGGTGCCGCAGCCGGAAATATTGATTCCAAAACTTTAGCAGATAACAATTACAAACATGCTTGGGAAATATTGACTGAGCGATACGAGAATCCTCGTATCATCATAGACACACACATTTCCGAACTTTTGAGTATGAAGAAAATGACTAGGGAATCTCACAAGGAATTAAGGGATTTGGTTGATACTTGTACTCGAAACATTGAGGGACTTAAATTCATGAAACAACCAGTGGAAGCAACTGCGGGATTGATTATTAACAAATTAATAATATCTTGTCTTGACTCTGCTACACGAAAACAGTGGGAACGAACTATTAATCATGGTGACTTACCTGTGTTGGATGATACTCTCTTGTTTTTGAAAGATCAATGTCGCGTTTTGGAGCGGTGTGAAGCCGATCACCCGACCGCTGCTCCTAAGTCACAACCAGGCAAATTTTCCCACCCTAATACCAGACCTCCCAGTGTTAAGGTTCATGCAGCATCACCGGATGCTAGTAACGAGTCATGTCATTTTTGTAGTAAGACTCATTTTTGCTACCAATGCCCTGATTTCCGTAAGCTAACAGTGTCTGCCCGTGTTGGTAAAGTAAAGGAATTTCGCTTGTGTTTCAATTGTCTCCGTCGTGGCCACAACTCCATTGATTGTTTGTCCAAAAATCGATGCACAAAATGTGGCAAACGCCATCATTCCCTGCTACATGAAGAAGGAAAGAAGTCTGAAGAAAGCGTTGCACCTGCCCCCAATCAGAAACCTAACGAAGCTATTCCCAAACCTGTCACGGGTTCCCTCCAGTCCACTAATGTCGATTCAGTTCAATCAACTACTGTTTCCTCCTCGTGTTCACATAGTGTTACACTTCCCAATGTATTGTTGTTGACTGCTAAGGTGAATCTGCTCAACAAGTCTGGCCGTTTTGTACCCTGTAGAGCCTTCCTAGATTGTGGTGCTCAAACAAACCTGCTCTCCACCGCAATGTACAATAAACTAGGGTTTGATGGAGTTCCTATTAGCGTTGACATCGTTGGTGTCAATTCTACCCGCAGCAAATCTAATCGTCTTGTTGATATAAATCTTCGCTCCCTATGCAGTGATTATGAAACGACTCTCAAGTGCTTGGTTACCGAAACGATTACAAGTCCGTTGCCATGTAAGGCAATCAACATTACTCAATGGAACATTCCTTCCAACATAACTCTAGCCGATCCCCAATTCCATGTCCCTGCGGCTGTAGATTTGCTTATCGGGTTAAGTCACTTCTTCGACTTGTTGAAGGTTGGACACATCGTCCTTGCTGAGGGTTATCCTGAATTGCGTGAAACTAAACTGGGATGGGTAATTGCGGGAGAAATTCGTAATGAGATTCCCGGTATCGAAAACGTCCGACAGGTAAATTGTGTTTCCATTGAGTCGCTCAATCAGACAATTAAGCAGTTTTGGGAAATTGAAGAAGTTGAACCCAGTCCTATTCACACTGGAGAATCGGAAGAATGTGAGGAGTTATTTCGGAGCACATATCTGCGTGATTCAGCTGGCAGATATATAGTGAAACTTCCTACTCGCGAGAACTTGCCCCAACTTTCTGACAATCGATCCTTGGCGGCCCTCCGTCGGTTTTTCCTTCTCGAGAGACGTTTACTGAAAGACCCTGATCTCCATCTCCAGTATTCAAAATTCATTGAGGAGTACATATCCCTTGGACACTGTAGAGAAATTAATGAAGCAAATGACCCCCTTGAAAGGCTCAAGTATTACATGCCACATCATGCCGTTTACCGGCCAACCAGCTCAAGTACTAAACTAAGAGTTGTGTTTGATGCATCGGCAAAGCCCCCCTCCGGAGTTTCTCTTAATGACGTGTTAAAGATTGGTCCCGTTGTTCAGAGCGACATATTGTCAATTTTGTTGAGGTTTCGCAAACACCCTTTCGTTTTCACAGCCGATATTTTGAAGATGTATCGGCAGATTCTCATTGACCCTGAACTGGCTTCCCTCCAAAGAATATTCTGGCGCTTCAACCCAACTGATCGCATAAAAATCCTCGAGTTACTGACTGTTACGTATGCTACCTCCGCTGCCCCGTTTTTAGAAACTAGAGCGCTGGTTCAGTTTAGTATCGACGAAGGAGTCGATTTTCCTCTTGCAGCTCGAGTAATACTAGAAGACTGTTACGTTGATGATGTATTATCGGGTGCAAGAACAATTGAAGAGGCAATTGAATGTCGCCGGCAGCTCCAAACGTTGCT